GTGTGGTATGGGGTGATATGGCGTGCGGTAACGTAGTGCTAAGATGCAGTTCACACATGCCAGTGACAGGCTGGCGGCGGAGTGCCTACTGCTGCACCTGTTGTCTCCGGTAACTCTGTGCAGGCCATTCAGCAACACACACACATCACATGCACGGAGCATGGTTTGCCATGTGACCTGCATGGTGAGCACAGCGGCAGAGTCCCTTTTGCTGCGCTTGCTGTCTTGACGTGTTGCAACAGGCAACATCTGGCATGGTTCAAGCTGTTTCTATTCGCCTCTCCCACGCGTGCGTGCATGTGTCCATGTGTGCATGTGTGCATGGATTCATGGATTCATGTATGCTTATGTGCATGTGTGCATGTATGCAGGTACACACGCGCATAGAGCCCATGCCTCTTGGCAAGCTCTCTCTTAACCTCTCCGGCTTCCCAGAACCTTCCTTGGCCTCCACTCCCTCTCCAACCCCTCCTCCTCTCTCTTCCTCCCCTCCCTCACTCTCCCAAGCCGCCTCCCCCTCTCTCTCCGCCCTCACCTCCTCTCTCCAAACCCTCCTCCCAGCCACCCACACTCTCCCGCTCTCCCTGGACAATCTTAACTCGCGCCGCCTCACGCCCCACAAGGACTATACCTCTGACAGACTAGTCTCTGGCGTGCTGCAGCTACCAGCAGGGACCCACCTAACTATTGACGAGACGGCTTTAAAGCCGGGAAGGGTGGCGGCGCTAGGGAGCCAGAACCTGCAGGCTCTTAAAGAGCTATTGGAGTGGCAAAAAGTGGACTACGATTTTCAGTACTATAAGATGGAGATGCAGAGCGATATACCTGTGCTGATTCTCTCCCATGCCACGTCACGCCTCCTGCCTGCTGACGTCAGCCTGCCAGTGCGGTGCACGGCGCCACCTCAGCCTGTCCGTGAGGACGAGCCGGAGGTTGCCACGTGGCGGCGGTACATTGGCTGCTGCCGGCTGCTGGATCATGAGATCAAGGAGGACATGCGGGAGGTGTGTATTTGAGCCTCCCTGCGATTATTGTTCATGCGTGCGGGTTTTGGTTTTTGCTGAGTGCATTTCTCGTGATAAGGGAGGATATGTGCGTATGCACATGCACGTGCATGTGCATGTGAGTGTACATGGGCATGCCACCTGTGGGCATCACAGCCCCTTCCAGCCTCAGCAACCCATCTTCACCACCTCATCCCACCCTCCTCAAATCCCACCCTCCCCACATCCCACCCTCCCCACAACCCACCCTCCCCACATCCCACCCTCCCCACAACCCACCCTCCCCACATCCCACCCTCCCCACAACCCACCCTCCCCACATCCCACCCTCCCCACATCCCACCCTCGCCACATTTCACCTCTCCAAATCCCACCCTCGCCACATTTCACCTCTCCAAATCCCACCCTCGCCACATTTCACCTCTCCAAATCCCACCCTCGCCACATTTCACCTCTCCAAATCCCACCCTCGCCACATCCCACCCTCCCCACGTACCACCTGTGTGGGCAGCAAGTGGAGCGGGAGCTAGTGGCAGCGCGGCAGGGGGACCCGTCCCTCGACTCCGACACTTTCCACAGGTACGCGCTGCCCGGTGCTTGCGATGCCTCTTGCTGCGCAATGCCTGTTGCGGGGCATTTCCTAGAATTCGCAGCAGCTCGTGGCAGCACGGCAGCAGGACCCCTCTCTCGACTCCGACACTTTTCCCAGGTACGCGCTGCCTGCTGCTGCTTCTGATGGTTTCATCGCTGCTGCTGAGTGATGCCTGCTGCTTTGCTCCTTGAGACTGCGCCTGCTCTGTTGGACCAAGTACAGGAAGAGCCCTTATTGGATTTTTATGTCATCGACCGCTTGACTTTTGGGCTAGTCAGTGAGGTTTTGCTTGTCGTGCTGTGTGCTGTGATGGTGGTGCATGGGGATCATATATTCTTCTTTGTCTGTTTGCTGTTCCTCTGTCGCATGGGGTGGGGAATGGCCATGCAGGTGGCTCACATTGGCTCGTCTGGCAGCTGCAAGCTTTGGAGAGAGGGAGCTATCGAGGGAGAGGTGGCAGGCAGTGAGGGACTTGGAGCGAGCCAGGGAGGCTCGTAGCCGAGTGGTGTAGTTGTAATTGGTTGGATGTGTGCAAATAAGGCTAGATGTTTGATGTTCAAAGTAAGTGTAGAAGTTTCCACAATTGTTTTAGGTGACTCATTACCTACCACCCATCTTTTAATGAATGTACACCATGCTTGACACAACCCCACTCGGAGTGGCACAAGTCGAAGCACACTGTTCTGCAATAGTCTAGCTGTCCCTTAGGAGCTGTAGCCACTGCGAGGTCAATGTTGACACGTCGTCATCTGGTCATGGATGGGGTCGTTCCTTTCCTCATCAGTACACCCTCTTTCGCGCTAGTAGAGCACCTGGTTGCAGAACGTACATGGGTTGTAGAACGTCACCACGTTCAGAATGGTCTTGTCACCTACTGTACAAGCACAATGTGAAGAATGCGGTTAGGTGAGGTTATGCACTTATTCGGTTTGGAAGGGTATAAAGCGATTACGGAGATTTTGCGTTCTTGAGCCAGTTTGTCGCATGGTTCAGCTTTCCCCCCAGGTTGCTAGGAACGCTTAATGGCACCAGATCGCATGAGACAAGTACTGTAGCGACGAGTCGCGCAAGGTGAAAAGGTTGAGAAAGAGGGTGTTATAATTTCTGACAGGTTCTGGTTAGGCCACGTTCGCGCTCAGACATGCACGTCTGTTAAGGTGACACGTTGCATAGCAACGGCGTGGTCTACTGCTGCTTCCCTCCATGCACGCCTCGCGACTCCTCTACTCCTTGCTGGATCCTTGCTGGTTACTGTGAGCCGAGGCCATTGCCAGAGCCACACCCTTCCCTTACGGGATGTGGGAACAATTTCTGTCCTCGGTTGGTCGCGATCCGTCGCACCAACTCTCTCACCTCTTCCTCGTCGAATCGCGTTCCCATGCTATAAATCGTCCTATCATGACACTTCCTCCTTACCACCTGGCGCAATGGGTTCCCGGCACAACACCGACGAGCTTATGGGCGAAGAGGAGCTCGATGCCTCCTTCTCGGTCGACTCATTTTTCGCCGAAGAAACTGCCACACCTGCTGTCTCGGCTCCTCCCCCCGCTAAGCGCGTCTGTGCTGCCGGATCCTCCAGTTCTGCGCCTGTGGCTCCCCCTGCGGCTTGGGTGGTGCCGCCTGTCACCCCGATAACGGCTCCCGTGGCTGGTCCCTCCACGGCAGCGCCTACTCCCTCGGCGTCTACCCAGGAGGCTAACCCTGTTATTGCCCTTGCTATTACCGGTCGTTACTCACGTCTTCGACGTAACCGTGACTCTGTGGGAGTTGTTGTTAAAATAATAAGAACGTAAGGGCCTAGGCTTAGGAGCCTAGGCCCAACTTAGGTATCGAGTGAGTTGGGCCCAAGGGGGAGAGTCGAGAAAGTTGTGAAAGGAGAAAAGGTGGGTTGCACTATAGGTTCAAAGAACATATAGTATAGGAAACAAAAGGGTGCACCACCTAACAAAATTTGCAATAACTACACTAACTACAGCTACAGGCAGTTACAAATATAAATAATATAAAGTCTGACACTCCCCCATAACTGCCTGCAGCAGAAGTTTGTGCAGAACACAACTTGCAGGGGTACACAAGCAACACAAGCAAGATAATAACCAAGCAACAGCAGGTACTGCAGGCGGGCAGACAATAACTGGTCACCCCCTCCATCACCTCACCCTCCTCCCTCCCCTCCCCCACACTGCTGCAGGAGCAGTAGAGAGGGGGGGAAGAGAGGAGAGGTGGAGGGACGGCTGCTGGTTGCCTCACACCCTTCACCCCGGCGCCTCTCCCCCTGCTCCCCCACACCCTCACACCCTCCCCCCCAGCGGCAGCTGCAGCAGTGGGAACAAAGGAGGAGGAGGGGAAGGGAAGGGTACGACCCACACTCCAACACCCTCCACCCCCATACCCTCCTCCCCGCGGCTGCAGGGAGACAAAGGAGGAGGGGGGTGGGAAGGAAGAAAGCCGCAGAGCGGCGAAAAGGTGTCGGTGCAGTGGTGTCAGGGGCGGCTTCAGGGAATGCAGGTGCGGAGAGCACCGTCGCAGGCGCCAGGGGCGGGTCCGCGGCGGCTCAAGGGCACCGCCACGGGCGCCAGGGGCGGGTCCGCGATGGCGCAGGGCACCGCCGCGGGCGCCAGAGGCGGGTCCGCGGGCGCCAAGGGCACCGCCGCGGGCGCCAGGGGCGGGTCCGCGACGGCAAAGGGCACCGCCGCGGGCGCCAGAGGCGGGTCCGCGGGCGCCAAGAGCACCGCCGCGGGCGCCGAAGGCGGGTCCGCGGGCGCCAAGAGCACCGCCGCGGGCGCCAAAGGGGGCGGGTCCGCGACGGGTAGAAAATAAAAACGTCACGCGCCCGTGGCGCGTGACCAATAATTCAGCAGCGGAAGCTTTGGTCGGGCCCACAGGCCAGGACCAACCTGCTCTGACAACCATGTTAAAATAATAAGAACGTAAGGGCCTAGGCTTAGGAGCCTAGGCCCAACTTAGGTATCGAGTGAGTTGGGCCCAAGGGGGAGAGTCGAGAAAGTTGTGAAAGGAGAAAAGGTGGGTTGCACTATAGGTTCAAAGAACATATAGTATAGGAAACAAAAGGGTGCACCACCTAACAAAATTTGCAATAACTACACTAACTACAGCTACAGGCAGTTACAAATATAAATAATATAAAGTCTGACAGTTGTTGTTGCGGCCCTCGCCCGCGACACTGATGCTGTTGTTGTTCTTCTCTTCCCTGAGGCCCTGGAAGCCCATCACAGCCGGATCATCACCCGCGTCCGTAGCATCCTCCGCGGGCGTGATTTCGCTGGTGGTCGCGTCCTGTGTTCGAAGCATCTGCTGGTGATCTCCTGCGCCTTCCCCGCAAGTCGTACTGCCACCACACGATTCAGTGGCCAACGGTTGACGACGCGAATCGCTTCAAGCGCATGCTCCCGATCACATACCGCTCCTCCGAAGGACCAACCTCCGAAATCAAGGTGTTCCAGGATCCTGCCCCGGACTTCTCGGCGGCCAAGGCCCGCGGCGAGACGGTTCTGATTCTGCGCAACGTTCCTGTGGGGTTTGCTGTCCGCACGCTCCACTCCTTGCTGATGACTAGCTCCACGGAGGGGGTTCGCTGGCTTGGTGACCTTCTTTTCTTCCACAAGCTGTTTGATCCTTACGAGGAATCATTCTTACCTCAGATGCTTGGCATTGCTGTTGCCTCCCCTAACGACCCCCTCTTTGAAGCCATCCCTGCTGTCATATGGGTGCCAGGAGTTCAGGAACCTATCCTGGTGAATGTGTCTTCGCACTCATGCGCTGTGTGCACTAGTAACCATCGTACGCGCGACCACAGCAGCTTCGCTGCAGTGAGGAGGAACCGCATCGCTAATCCGTACCTCATCACCATGTGGCAGCTCCAGAATGTTAATGGTAACTATTTCCCTGTGTGCTTCCATCTGCTCCTTCGACCGCTCTGCTGGTTCCTTGTATTAACCCTCCCAAGTATCGCCTTCCCCTTTTGCTCTTGTTCTTGGTCGCAACCTGCCTGTTGGTGTTCCCTCTGGCTTTGCTCGTTCCTTGCCTTGCTCTGTCTTTTCTCCTGCTCTCTCTACTCCAGTCTCCTATCGTGGGTCTCAGTGCCGCTCCCTACATGCCCCCCTGCCTTTTACAGCCAGGATCATTGGCCAGCACCCCGCAGTGGCTTCCTTCAAGGCCGAACCTGGTACCTTCTTCATTGGGACGGATCTTGAGGTGGAAGTCTGGTCTTGCGCTCTGTGCTCTTTCTGCTGCGGTTGGGCTTTGGACAGTGCGATGGAGCATATCGCCAGCCCCGCTCATCAGAACGCTATCCAGCTGGCTTCTGGCAACATCACGCCCCTGGAGGAGTACGGGGATGTGAAAGCCCATGTTTTCAATCAGAACGGGACGATCGCCACCTTCCTTGCGCAGGGTTAGGAGGCTTCGGCGGCTGGAAATACAGTGTGTACCCCTCGTATTCCAATAATCCTGTACTGTTGTATCTGCAGTTGCTGTCTATACAATTCGGTTGGGACTTACATGTAAGTCATTGCTATGTGATTTCCCTGTCGGCTCCTCCTCAAGGTGCCTCTTTCTCCTGCCCCTGTGGATGTGTGCTTTTCGGAGCACATGGGGCCCTCCTCTATGATCATTAATGGATATACACCTCAAAATACAGTCTATTAATGTCAACGGTCTAAACTCTCCTCAAAAACTTGATGTCTTGCGCTCTTGGTTCACAAGGAATCCTGTTGATATCCTCGTGCTCACTGACACCCGGCTGACCTCCAATTTTTCACATCTTCTTTTCAAATTAAAAACCTAAAGCATATGCTCAAGTTCCCCCTCGCCTGTCCTCTTCCTTACATGCTAAACCTGGCGGCATCGCTGTTTTAATCTTCCATCCGAGTGTTTCCATTTCCACCAGGGCATCCTTTGGTGATGGAAGGTGCTTATATCTTCACTGCAACTTCTTACATGAACAGTTCAGGCTTCTCGCCATCTACGCCCCTAACAACTATCTTGACAGGCGTGCCTGGTGGACCAACACTGTGGCGCACTACCTGGAGCAACCCTCCGCCAGTTCTGTAACAATTCTTACCGGTCACTTCAATGCCGTGGTGTTACCCTTGGACAGGAATCGGGACCTGAAACCAGTGGAGCGCACAGAGACAGCTTTATTAGAGGATATGCTCAAGAAACACTCTCTTATTGACTGCTACCGGCACAAGTTTCCAACCAAAGCCATGTTTTCCTTTTCCTCCCATCAAAAAGTTCTACTTTCTGGATCTGCCCCCCCCTCCTCCCAACCTTCCCTCCCCAGGCAGAATGCTTGCTCTCCTGTTTCTGCCCCCTCCTCCTCCCGCCTTGACAGAACGTACGTATCTGGCCATTGGGCCGATCGGATCCATCATGTGTCTTATACCTCTGTTCCCCCTCCTCTTTCTGACCATGATCGCAGGCCTCGAGTGGCCTTCCGATTTCGAAACCCCAATATGGCCCCTAGGCCTTGGCGGCTCCCGCATTCCTTCATTCTCAAGCCTTTTGTCTGTGCTAACCTAAAACAGGTCTCTCAGGAACTCAGACCTGGGTTCACCATCGAGGAGTGGGACCACTGGAAGGAAAGGCTTTGTCGTCAACTTCAGTGGTACAGTAAGGAGGAAAAAACCAGGGTAAGGAAGACTATGTCCTTTCTAAGTGATGAGGCATGCCGCCTTCAGCTTCACCTTCTCAAAAACCCTTCTGACCAGCAGGGAGCCACCCGCTTATCCCTTCTCACTTCTAGCCTGGAGTCTTATGAGCTCTCTCGTGCCTCCAAAATCGCGCTCAAGGCGAAGCTCAAGGTGGAAGGCTCTAGAGAGATGGGGGTCTCCTCTCTTCTCGTTGGTCTTCAGGGCCGCATCAAAGATTCTCTCATTCCACATCTCAAGCTCCCCTCGGGTGAGATTGTCTCTGACTTGCAGGGCATGTCCAAGCACTGCACCGAGTACTTCTCCACTCTTTACAATGGTCTCTCTCCAGTCTCTCGTGACCTTTCGTTCTGGAATTCAGTGCGCACCTCTGTGCTCCCCTCTTCCTGCTCTGCCCGTCTGGATCTTCCATTTTCGCTGGCAGAGATTGAGTCAGCTCTGGGGCGGCTTTCCAGGGGTAAAACCCCCGGGCCTGATGGCCTCCCTGGGGAACTGTTTCGCTCCTATAAAAGCATATTTGCCCCTCTGTTTCAAACGTTGTGCACCTCTATTGTCTCCCAAGGGCAAGTTCCCAAGTCCATGGAAGCCGGCAGGACGGTTCTCATCCCCAAGCGTGGAAGTACGCAGCTTGTATCAAACCTGCGGCCTATTACGCTGATGAACGTGGATTACAAGGTTCTTGCCCTTGTCCTTGCCTCCCGTTTACAAGCTGTTCTTCCCAAAATCATCAACCCCGCACAGGCTGCGTTCATCAAAGGTCGGCGTATCGGCGATACAATCAATGATACATTGGACCTCATGGAGTGGGCGATCGCTCAAGGTGACCCACTCCTCGTTCTCACGGTGGATTCCGGAAGGCATATGACATGGTCGATAGGCAATTCCTTTATGATTGTTTACGTCATCTAGGGATTCCTCCCGGTTTCATTCGGTGGGTATCCATGCTCCACTCCAACACCTCCACCAGGGTATCGGTCAACAACTTCTCTGGCCCCCTGTTCCCCGTGCGCTCAGGTGTGCGGCAGGGCTGCCCCCTTGCCCCTCTCCTCTTCGTCTGTGTGATCAAGGTCATGCAGAGGTACTTACACTCCTTCATCCCTGGCTATGCCTTCAACCAATCCCAACGTCGGCTGGCAACCTGCTATGCTGATGACGTGTCAATTTTTCTCAATTCTGACTCTGAACTGCAGGTAACCACTCAGGTTCTCAAGAACTTTGCATCCATGTCTGGGGAGCACCCGAATTGGGAGAAGTGCTCTATTATCCCCATTAACATGCACAACACCCCGTTGCTCCATGCAGGTTCAATTCCTATAAGGGGTGCCGATGAGCCCGAGCGGATCTTGGGAATTTACGTGGAACAAAGTCAACCCGGGGCCACCACCTGGGACAACATCATCCTTCGTATCCGAGGCTGCACCAAGCTGTTGGCTCAATTTAAGGCCACAACCACATGCCGATCCCTCTTGTCCACGGAAAGACTGGCCTCCCTATATGCATTTGGTGCTAGGTTTCAACCCCCCCCCTTCCCTCATACTCACAACGCTTGACCGTGTTGGTATCTTCCTCTCCAACTCCCGTTACAAGGAACATGGGCTTGCTACGAGGCTCATCCCCAAACGGATCCTATATAACAAGAAGAAACATGGAGGCGTCGGTGCTCTGGAACCCTCTGCGCATATTCGTGCCCTCACCATCCAACGGGTTGTAAGAAGGTTTCACGCTTCGCCTTATGAAGATGTTGCTCACTCCTGTGTTCCTGTGCCTTATGGCCTTCACTGTTACCTTTCTCACCCGTCCATTGTCAAATTTCTCCCCCCTCAGGTCTCGGCCAGGTTCCGTGCTGAACTTGAAGCCGTTTTACCACTACCTTCGACAGTTAAGCCGCCTCGTCCGGACCCCTGGAGCCTCATGGCCGAAATTGTCGCCTTTAACAGGTTCATATGCAAGGAACGGGATGTTCCGTTCAGCCGCCTGAAGAATGAGTTGTTTCTTCTTAATTATCAAATCCGCTTTGGGAACCTCCTCATTCCCACTCGTACAGGTGTAAGGCGGATGGAAGAAGACGGAATCTTTGAAAAATTCCCCCCCTCAGTGTACCCTGGCAGCAGGACACTCATTCTCAGTGTCTTTGATGCCATCCCTCTTAGTTGGTGGGCTACGATACGGAGATTCTCCCCGAGCAGAAGATACCTGGCTGTCAATGATTGGGTGTTGGAGGCTAAAAAGACATTCCTTCCTAGCAAGATCATTCGTATGTTCGCCCTTCTGCCAGATTTCAAAGCACTTGTCAACATTTTCAGTGTGCATCAAGGGAGACAGGTGGCAACCGTGAGTGAAGGAAGCCGCACCATCACATTCAAGGAGGTCATCCCAGTTCACGTCAAAGGACGATGGCTAGCCGGTCCCTTCAATCACGGCCCTGCCCTCGGCTCTCGCCATGAACTCTTTGCGAGAACTCCCTCGCTCTCGGATATCAGGAACCTAATCTACCAGCCGCTTCCTCTTAATCACTTGGAACGCTGGAATGTCATAGTCCGGGATCCCATTCCCTTTCTTCCAGACTACCATCATTCATTCCTCAAGGACCAGCCCTCACGACACCTTGATGTTCTCTTTCGAGTCTTCAACCTCACGCCGCCGTCCGGTTCCAGATACCGCTTCACCTCCACCGGGGGCGCCTGCCCTCGTTGTGGTCCCCCCTGGATTGAAGACCTACCTCACATGTTCTTTGATTGTGGGCATGCGCATGCGGTTGTCGAGTCAATACACCGGGTGGCTAGTCGACACCTTCTCACATCAGTTGAACCGGCGGCCGTCTTCTTTCCGCTGCCTCACCCATCCAGCCTCATCGCTCCATGGTGTCTGCTCGTTGGTGCTGCTGCCACAACCCTCTGGAGAGATCGTTGCTCTTCTCACTATGAGCAGACTGTGTACACCTGACTTGAAACTCTTCATCGCATCCTGGCCCTCTTCTTAACTTCCTGTAAAATCTACTTCAGTCGACGGGCTAAATGGTCTGATAAAAAGAAGCGCGCTACGAAAAATCGTCTCCATGCTGCCGTCTCACTTAAATTCCTTACCTTCGGGTTGGATGGCACCCCGCAACTTCATCCAGCTCTGCGAGAGTCCTGGCTGTTGAACGATTCTTTTCATCCTCCGTAGAAGCTGCTCAGGTTTTAGCTGTGCAACCCGATAAAGGCTTTGGCCTTCATTCTATCATTGATAGGCAAGTAACGCTGTTATAGAGTAGGTCTTTTAGACCTTGGCTTTTTGCCATGCTTGTGGTGTTGCACTGTATGCGGTTACGACCATAATAAAAACTTAAAACTTAAACTTTCGCGCTAGTAGAGCACCTGGTTGCAGAACGTACATGGGTTGTAGAACGTCACCACGTTCAGAATGGTCTTGTCACCTACTGTACAAGCACAATGTGAAGAATGCGGTTAGGTGAGGTTATGCACTTATTCGGTTTGGAAGGGTATAAAGCGATTACGGAGATTTTGCGTTCTTGAGCCAGTTTGTCACATGGTTCAGCTTTCCCCCCAGGTTGCTAGGAACGTTTAATGGCACCAGATCGCATGAGACAAGTACTGTAGCGACGAGTCGCGCAAGGTGAAAAGGTTGAGAAAGAGGGTGTTATAATTTAGGGGCTCCGAAAGGGACTCCGAATCCGGAGCTGTATCTCTGACGATTATCTGTGTTTCGCTGGGTTGACACTGTAGTACCCTCGAAACGGGGCTATCCGCTTCCTCCCTCGAAACTAACCTTCTCGGGGCCCGCGATTTCAGGGATAACGGATTTTTTTGTTAATGATCGTCGATGTAGCATGAAGCCAGCTGTCAGCGCTACATTACATTGACGCGTGCCTGGACCTCAGCCTGTTCACCACCACCTCCCTCGTTTCGTTCGCCTCAACCTAGAGCACCATGCAAATCCTGGAATCGCGAAAGACCACATCATCCGACGAGATGGCATGGCACATTCAGGGCTCGTCTCTCTCGTTTGCAAGGATCGTCGTCTAGTCTATACTAGACCCAACTGGGCGTGGCCCCTGCGCTTCGAGCCGTTGTTGTGACGCACGTAGAATAAACGACCATCATGATAAAAGTCACTCGGCTAGACAGTGAAGTTCTGTTTGGCATGCTGTGTGCTGCTGTGATGGTGGTGCATGGGGATCACTATATGCTTTGGATTGGACTAGGGTGAGGAATGGCCATGCAGGTGGCTCACATTGGCTCGTCTGGCAGCAACAAGCTTTGGAGGGAGGGAGCTCTCGAGGGAGAGGTGGCAGGCAGTGAGGGACTTGGAGTGCACTCGAGAGGCTCGTAACCGAGTGGTGTAGTTGCATGATAAAATACATGATCAATACTGAATGCTTGTTGCTGATTGATCGCTGTTGAAATTACTCAAAACAAAATCAGATCTCATTTATGCGTTTCCTACACCTGAAGTCAAAACAACAACCATTTCTCTGGTGGAGAGAACCGGAGCTGCCTGTGCCGCGTCGGTCAAACCAACCTCGTGAGTTGCAGCGAGACTTGATTGGTCGGAGAGGCATATGTTCCCTGAGTTCTTACCTAGTTTCCTCCTTCCCTCGATTCCTCTCTCTCGACTCGGAGGTTCAAGTCAGGTGATTCTTCAACGTGACTGTACATTATTTTATATGATTTCCTTTTCCAAGAATCTCTCCAGGTACTGTAGTTGGTTTCCTGGAAATAAGATCGCGGTTCTGAAGTTCGCCCGCCATCCGAAGTAGGGACAAGTGTAGACGGAAGTACACGTCTGATTGGCTTCCATGCTCCAATATATCTGGAAGCTTGTGTGATGACCAATGATAGGGTGTTTTTACACGTCTTTGAGGGCCATTTTGAGCTGATGGCGGGCAAACTTCGCCCAGAACCGCGACCTAAGTTACAGGAGCGAATTCATTGCAGATAATTGCGGTAAGGCGCGTGAAGCTCGGTCATGATGCCACGCCTGCCAACTGGCAGGGCCACCAGCGTGGCGAGAGGCCATCCACATCTATCTCCACCCCACACACGCCTCAGTCCAGTCAATCAATCCACGAAAGTCTCGCCTCGCCGGGTTCCATCGGATCGCCATGGGAAGTCGCAGATTGCGAGCAGTCGTAGCCGAGACGGCTGCTTCAAGGGTGCTTCACTCTCTCCGTGCCAATAATCGTCGTGTAGTAAAGTCTAGACCCGACTGCCAGTCCGCCAATGTGCTTGCGACCTCGTAGGGAAGCGCTCATGCAGCAGATGAATGGAATCGATTGGAACAACGAGCGAATGGTATCGCCGCTCTGAGTTTTCAGGCCTATTCTTCTACTGCGCGACTCCCCAGACGATTTTATTAAGAATCCTTTTTCGGAAAGATTTCCTGAAATCTCGCTGGAATCACCATGGACTCGCCTTTTTTCGCCCGTTCCTACACCGCCCGTAACACCGGCAGCGGAGGCGGCGGCGGCGGCAACGGTATGAAGAAGCGCGCATGGGACAGCCTCTCCCCCTCGCCCTCTCCCAAGTCCTCTCTCCTATTTCCTGAAAGCCCGGCGGGTCGCACGAGAGCCTGGACATACGGTTCGTGCGGCAGCAGCAGCGCCGCGAGTGTCGATCTCAGCTCCCCAAACAAATCCCTGGCGACTCGGAAGCGTTATCGACGCTCCCCCAGCTGTTTAGATCCGCTCTTTAGCCAGCTAAAACCGGCCGTCCGATGCGTTCTTTCCAACGGTCCACAGTCGCTGGAGCCGCTCGAATCGGCCGGGCAGTACGAGCCGGCGCCCACGCCGAGATACGTCCAATGGCCTCCCTGCGACGCGCATGGCTCGCACGCGTCGCCACGCGCCCGCCGCGAGTACTTCCTCCGACAGCTGGCGTCTCCAGTTGCAGATTCAAGCCCTCGTCACCCCGCGCCCCCCGCCGCAATTTTCGCTACCAATCCAACCACAGGTAGTGGTCGCGCCGACGCTAGAGAGAGTTCCGAAGCTAGAGCGAATCCTGGCGCGCCGCTGACAGATTTGACGCTCGCCGGGTCGCGGATTCCTCGCGGGGCCATGATGACGCGACCCGCGACGACGATCGCGCAGCTGATGCTGATACGCGCGTGCCACAGCGAGGCGCTCCGCCGCCACAGCCTCGGCACCGCGCTCGGCTTGCGCACGCGGCGCGGAAGGCTGACGGACGTCCCCGCTATAGTCGTCTTCGTTTCAAGAAAGGTGCACGAGGAGTGGCTGCTGCCGGCGCAGAAGCTTCCGAGGAAGTTGCAGGGGCCGGGCGGGTACGAGTGTGACGTGGACGTGGTGGAGCTGACCAATCAGAGAAGCGGCTGCAGGAGCAGCAGCAGCCCGGGCGCTGCAGGCCACGTGGCAGGTGACGCGGGTGACGTGGCAGGCACGGTGGGAGTAGCCGCAGAGGCAGCTATTATAGATAACCCGCTGGTGGAGCAGCTGAGGGGGAGTGGCAGTAAGATCGGGCCGGGGTCGCAGATTGCAAGCGAGGAGGTGTATGGAACGCTGGGAGCGATTGTTAAAAAAGCCAGCCGGAGCAACAGCAGTGGCAGCGGCAGCGGTGGCGGTGGCGGCGGCGGCGGCGGTGGCCATGGGAGGACGAGCGGCACTGGTGGGATGAGCAGCAGTCTTGGTGGGAGCAGTGGTTGCCTTGGGGTGGGGTTTCTGGCGAGTCGCCACGTGGCAGTTGATTTGGACCAGCTGAAGCAGAAGCTCTTTCACCCCCTGCCTGTGTCGCTTGGTCCGGGGAGGTTCTTAGGCTCGGTGGAACGAGCCTTGCCGTTTGCTTCGGACCACGCGTGGTTCGGCGTGTTCGCCAACATGAACCCAGGTGCGGATTGTTCTCTTTATTAGGTGATTCCGTAAGAGTTGTAACACTCCTACATTGTTCCACTACACGTTTTATTCCTTCCCTTCTCCTCAACCCTCCTCCTCCGATCCTTTCCCACCCAACATCCCGTTCAACGTTCTCCCCTCATGTCCCAATGCATGTTCCCACGTCCCTTCGTCCCCGAAACAAGCAGACTCGTTTGTGCGCACGGACGGCGCATACATTCCCTTCCACGAGGAGTTTGACTTATCGGTCGTGACAACGCAAGTGGCGGGAATCGGCCCCGTTGGTCCGCCCCGCCGCGTCAACCTATCAGACGACATCCGTAGTGTGGTGGGACAGCATGTGTGGAAGGTGCGTGGAAGGTACGTAGAAGGTGCGTTGCAGGATTTCACACCCACCCATGTTCTCTTTCTCTCCTCTCTCTCCTCTCCTCCGTCACTTCTCTCTCCTCTCCTCCGTCACTTCCCCTCGCCTCCCCTCTTTCTCTTCCCTCCTCCCTCTCCTCTCCTTTCTCATCTCTTCTCTCAGATGGGCAGCGTCTCAGGCCTCGCACAGGGCACCACAGCAATCTATGCATTGGAGCACAGCAATCTATGCATTGGAGCACAGCAATCTATGCATTGGAGCACAGCAATCTATGCATTGGAGCACAGCAATCTATGCATTGGAGCACAGCAATCTATGCATTGGAGCACAGCAATCTATGCATTGGAGCACAGCAATCTATGCATTGGAGCACAGCAATCTATGCATTGGAGCACAGCAATCTATGCATTGGAGCACAGCAATCTATGCATTGGAGCACAGCAATCTATGCATTGGAGCACAGCAATCTATGCATTGGAGCACAGCAATCTATGCATTGGAGCACAGCAATCTATGCATTGGAGCACAGCAATCTATGCATTGGAGCACAGCAATCTATGCATTGGAGCACAGCAATCTATGCATTGGAGCACAGCAATCTATGCATTGGAGCACAGCAATCTATGCATTGGAGCACAGCAATCTATGCATTGGAGCACAGCAATCTATGCATTGGAGCACAGCAATCTATGCATTGGAGCACAGCAATCTATGCATTGGAGCACAGCAATCTATGCATTGGAGCACAGCAATCTATGCATTGGAGCACAGCAATCTATGCATTGGAGCACAGCAATCTATGCATTGGACCACAGCAATCTATGCATTGGAGCACAGCAATCTATGCATTGGAGCACAGCAATCTATGCATTGGAGCACAGCAATCTATGCATTGGAGCACAGCAATCTATGCATTGGAGCACAGCAATCTATGCATTGGAGCACAGCAATCTATGCATTGGAGCACAGCGAACAAAGGGGGGAGACACCTCCTTCCTCTCCCTAGCATTCTTAACTGCCGCTCACTCCTCTCCTCTTCCCTCTTTTCTCTCGTCTCTCTTCTTGCTCCTGTCAGGTGGGCAGCGCCTCAGGCCTAACCCAGGGCACCATAGCAGCCTACGCGGTGGAACGCAGCGAGGGGGACGGTACATCCCTCTTTACAGACCTCCTCATAGTGGGTCGACACGGCTGTGCGTTTGACACCCCTGTCCTTGTCTCCCCTCGCTCCTCATTCCTTCAGGTGGGCAGCGCCTCAGGGCTAACCCAGGGCACCATAGCAGCATACGCGGTGGAGCACAGCGAGGGGGGCGGTACCTCCCTCTTTACAGACCTCCTCATAGTGGGTCGACACGGCCACGCGTTTGACACTCAAGGGGACTCGGGCGCTCTCGTGCTCATGCTCCCCACAGCTGCCCATTCACCAGCCGTGCTTGCCTCTCTACAGCTGTCGCCTCTTCCCCCTTCTGCTCCGCCTCCTCCCCCTGCTGCTCCGCCTCCTCCCCCTGCTGCTCCGCCTCCTCCCCCTGCTTCTCCGCCTCCTCCCCCTGCTGCTCCGCCTCCTCCCCCTTCTGCTCCGCCTCCTCCCCCTGCTGCTCCGCCTCCTCCCCCTGTTGCTCCGCCTCCTCCCCCTGCTGCTCCTCCTGCTGCACCCATACCCTCCACCCAGCCCCCCATACCCACTGCACAAGCAGCAGCACTGTCAGCAGAAGCAGGAGCAGCAATAGCAGCAGCAGTAACAGTGGCAGCACCATCAACATTACCAGTAGCAGCACCAGCAGCAGCAGCACCACCACCACTACCACTACCAACAGCACCACCATCAGCAGCAGCAGTAACAGTGGCAGCCCCATCAACATTACCAGTAGCAGCACCAGCAGCAGCAGCACCACCACCACTACCACTACCAACAGTACCACCATCATCATCATCAGCAGCAGCAGCAGCAGCGTTTCTAACGCCAGTGGCGATGGTGTTGGGGGGAGGTGGAAGCAGAGGGGGGATGAGGCTGGGGAGTGGCAGGGGGGCGCAGCAGTGCAGCAGTGCAGTTGAACTCGCCCGCCTGCTCTCCCTGCTGGATCTTGAGATGGTTACCACTGATGGCGAATTGAGAGGTGAGGTGGTTACCACTGATGGCGAATTGAGATGTGAGATGGTTGCCACTGATGACGAACTGGTAGGTGAGATGGTTACCACTGATGGCAAATTGAGAGGTGAGTTGGGTACCACTGACAGCGGATTGGGAGGTGAGATGGTTACCGTTTATGGCGCGGTAGATGTGAGGTGGTTAGTGGTTACCACTGGTGCAGAAGTGTGGGTTGTGATGTTCGCATGATTTCGCCTCAAGCTCACCCTGTCCCACCATAAAGTCCTGTTTCATTCTCTTCCATAGATTTTTTGCTCGTGTTTGACCTTCATATCGTTTCAATCTACCTCATTTCTCATCCGTTTCCTTGCAGAGTTCGCTCTAAGGCAGCGCCTGCTCCGCACACCTGGTAACAGTTCTCCTACTCCGGGGCATGGTGCTCGTGGTTCTGCTGATGAAATCGGAAGGGGGGAGAGAGGGAGAGGGGAGGAGATTGCGGAACTAGAGAAGAAAGAGGAAGAGGAAGGGAAGGAGGGAGCGGAAGAGAGCGTGGGAAAGAGGCAACGAGTGGAAGGGTGAGGGGCATTGGAAGGCTGGAAAGCAAGAGATGAGGAAAGTGGTAACATGGGCGAGATGAGGAAAGTGGTAACATGGGCGAGATGAGGAAAGTGGTAACATGGGCGAGATGAGGAAAGTGGTAACATGGGCGAGATGAGGAAAGTGGTAACATGGGCGAGATGAGGGTGAACGAGAGGAGGGAAGGGGGGCGGAGCAAGTGAGAAGAAAGGTGAGGGGGAGACATGGAAAGAGTGGGAGTGGGAGCTGGCAGGGGATGACGATAGAAGGCACGAGCATGTGCAGACTCACTGCTGTGGTTGCAAGCAGAGTTTAAGACACCCAGCGATGATTCTCCTCACATCCGTTTCATGTCCTGCCTTGGTGAGTGGTGCTGAGAGTGGGTGAGCAGTGTTGAGCGGTGCTGAGCTGTGCTGCGTGGTGCTGAGTGGTGCTGAGTGGTGCTCGAATGTGCGGTTCCGCCTGCTGACAAGTTCGTCTTATGTGCGGTTCTTTTTTCTGCATCTGCCCGCTGACAAGAGGGGGAATGGCCCTCTTATCGGCATCAGCTATCCTTGCATGTCCTTTTGCCTGATTTTCCCCACTCACCTCTCTTTACCCTCCGGGCTGCTCTTCCCCTTCTACACACTGTTATCGACCCTCCTGTCCTCGTATTCTCACACGTTGTCAGGCATTCTCAGGCAAATTCCCAGAAAGAACGTCTGGGAGCGCCACAGCCAGAGTGTGAAACTGCAGGTGATCTCCCCCTTCACCCCACTGCGGGTGTTGGCAGTCAACAGTTGGCTGCACTGCACCACACCGTGTGCTCACTGCACAGTGCACAGTGCTCAGCACAGCCTTATGGAACTGCTGTGCCAACAATGTTGCAACTCGGATTTTTTAATTTGACCCAGTGATTGGTAAACACTAGCATGGAATTCAAGGTTCTGCTACACCCTACCCTATACAAGAGGCTAAGGCCTTTCACACATCGGATACCCTTCCCTTCCCCACTCCGCACGACACATTTCTTAAAGAAGGTGCCCTCTGGCTGGCTGAAAGAATCTTCACCACACCAGAACACCACATCTGTACTCCCAAGATTGTCCCACATAGGTGCTACTACTCACTCTTGTACTGTCATACACTACCGAATGGCCGCTAGAATCAGACATGGGTAACACTTGCCTTTCAACTTGGTTACCCTTTATCCAGCAGTTGCCGCTTCCATCTCTTATATACGCACGTAATAATCCAGCTAATATCGGGTACAAGTCACAACTCCCCTGTGCCGAGGGGCTTTCGCGAGGTGTCCCCTGAAGCCCACGCCTCATAGTCCTTTTTCAGCTGAGGGGAGGAGGGGACAGAGAGAAGAGACAGGTGGGGAAGGGCAAGGAGAGACGGAGTGAGAGGGTAGGGGGAGGAGGGGAAACAACGAGGTGTCCCCTGAAGCCCATGCCTCATAGTCCTTTTTCAGCTGCGGGAAGAGAGGCGGATGGGGGCAGCAGGAGCAGCAGCAGACGGGATTTATGGACAAATTCCAGGGAAAGCTGCAGCCCAGGCTTCATAGCCCTTTAGCTGTGGCAAGGGGGCAAACAGATAGGGTGCAAGAGACACCAGACAGGTGGGGCAAGGCAAGGAGAGACAAGCAGAGGGGAGAGAGACAGAGCGGAGGGAATAGAGACAGAGCGGAGGGATAGGGAGAGGAACCGAAGATCAGGGTTAGAAGCAGCAACAGTAGGCGGAGAAGCAGAGCAAGCGGATAGGGAGGGAAGAGCTGGAGCGGCAGCAGAGGGGCTTTTGAGAGTTGCCTTCTCTCCACGCCCCTCCACTTCTACTCCTGCCAGGCTTTGTAATCCGTCTTCCGGTGTGGGGAGCGAGGGGGGGAGCAGACAGTTTGAGTGCGGAGAGAAGGGATACGAGGAGAACGGCGAGGAGACACGGAGCCAGAAACCAGCAAACCAGACACGGTGACCTTGAGAATCTGCTCCAACAGCTTGTTGCCTGCAGTTTCTATGACGTCCTGTGTGCATAGTCCAGCAAAGCGGCAACCAGAGCACTCAGTGAACCACAGCGCTCACCTGCTCTAGGAAGCGCGGCACGGCCACTTTTAGAATCTGCTCCAACAGCTTGTTGCCTGCAGTCTCTATGACGTCCCTTGGGATCATCCGGAATGGCACTGGGACCTCCACTGCGCTCTGTAGGGGGATATGATAGGGAAGATGGGAGGCGATTGAAGGGAATTAGGGGGGTTTTAGACAACACAACACTCTCTAAGGCCTCCCTTGGGATCATCCGGAATGGCACTGGCTCCTCCACTGCGCTCTGCGGGGAGAGATGGGGGGGGGTGGCGGGCGATGGGGCGTGACAGGTGATTTTATAGGGATACTGGTGAAGGACTCTAGCAATATCTCTGTGCTGCAGCCTATGCGCGGCACAACATGGTGATGGGTAGGTATTGACTATTGAGTCCACTCAAAGGTTATTGGTGGTGCAAAAGGATACTCCAGAGTGGTGATTACACGATTGAAGCAAAGATGGAACTCACCTTGAGAGTGGTATCTGACATGATGAGCCGCGAGGAGGGCGAGGAGGGCGAGGAGGGGTGAAGGCATGGCATCATGGCATGACACCATGAAGGCATGGCACCATGGCATGACGGCATGACACCATGAAGGCATCTCACCTTGAGAGTGGTATCTGACATGATGAGCCGCGAGGCGGGCGAGGAGGGCGAGGAGGGGTGATGGCATGGCACCATGGCATGAAGGCATGACAGCATGACGGCATGACAGCATGAAGGCATCTCACCTTGAGAGTGGTCTCTGACATGATGAGCCGCGAGGCGGGCGAGGAGGGGTCAGGCGCCCACCGCACCCGGTTCACCATGGACGCTGGGGGAAGGGGAAGGGGGCGGAAGGGGAGCGGGGGGAGGGGAAAGATGGAGGGCGAGGAGAGGTCAGGCGCCCACCGGACCCTGTTTACCATGGATGCTGGGGGGGAGGAGAGGAGGGGGGGGGGGGGGAGATTGTAGGAGGTGGAAAAGGGAGGGATATGGGGAGGAAGGGGTACGCAGTAAAGACACAGTTCACCAGATGCTGGGGGAGGCGAGGGGGAGTGGGGGAGTGGTTGAAGGGTGTGGCAGGGAGGGAGAGGAGGGAGGGAGTGCAGGGAGGGACGAGAGGAGACGGGGAAAGGGGGCGCAATGATAAGCATTCGGTTCACCATGGACGTTGGGTTGAGGGGTGTAAGGGAGAAATGATGGTGGAAAGCATGCATCAAGGATTACGCTGATACTGGTGCTTCCTGACAGCCTTGCTCATTGAGGGACATCAATTTTATGGGGGCGAAGCTTGGCAAAGAGCAACACTTAGCAAAGAGCGGGCACTTACATCGGAACTTCTTGTTCTGTGACTTCACTATGGGTGACCCGTCCAGCTGGTGTGGGGGCGCGGAGGGCCACGTGGGGCGAAGGGGGGAAGAGGGGAGAGGGGAGAGGGAAGAGTGAAGGGGATGGGAGGAGGTGGGAAGGGAGAGGGGGGACGGAAGAGAGATAGAGAATGCGGGAGAAGGGAGAGGGGAGGGGGAAGCGGGGGAGGGAATGGAGGGCAAACGAGGCGAGGTGAGGTAAACAACAGGAGAATGAAGGGCGGGGAAGTCGATAGGGTGGTGGCAGAGAGGAAGGAAGAAGAGAGGAAGGCAGCAGCGGTGCGTGGAAGAGAAGCAGGAGGTGGAAGAACGGGCAAAACCTTTGAGGCACTTTTGGAATTAGCCCCTTTCCCCATGTGCTCACCCCGTCCCCCTGCGCTGTTGCTCTCCTCCGCTTCCTGGTGGCCGACAGAACTAATCACGCTACTTCCTCCCCCTCGCCCCCTCCGGGCCTCCCTTTGCCTCCCGCGCTTCCCCTCCCCCTGCGCTGCTTGCCTCTTCCGCCCACGCCTACCATGGCGGAGAGCTGGCGGATGGTGCGCCCGTCCGCCCTCTGTTCCTTAGTGCTGCTCCCCACCCTGTGTCCCCCCTTCCCCTAATTCCCCCCGTGCTTTCCCCGTGCTTCCCTTCCCCCCTGCGCCTCCCCGCCCGCGCTCACCGTGGCGGAAAGCAGGCGGATGGTGCACCCATCGGCCTCCTCGTCGACGCGCACGAGCAGCACGGGGCAGATCTCCACGCTGAAGAACTGCACGCGGTGCGCGTAGCAGCGGAACGTGCTGCTGTCCACGCGCTCGATGCGCTCCGCGTCCAGCACGGAATATTGCGACGCGGGGAGGGTCATGTACTCCGCTGAAAGGGAGGGCGGGAAGGGACAATGGGGGGGGAGAGGGCACATGCTATGTCATGCCATGCCATGCCATGTCATGCGCTCGATGCGCTCCGCGTCCAGCATCGAGTACTGCGACGCGGGCAGCGTCATGTACTCCGCTGCGCGCAACGGCGGAGGAAGGAGGGGAATGGGTGAGGGAAGAGCCGGATGGGTCTGATGGGGGGAAGAGGGCACAGGTGTGTTACTCCCGCAAGGGCGCGGTTTGCGGAAGAAAGCGCGGCGACAGGGCGGAGGAAAGGCGAGGGAAACCTGGGCCGGATAACGAGTGCTGCGGGTTCCGCGCACGAATTCGCGGCCCGGTCTGGCTGATGCAAAACTCGAGCTCCTCTGCTACACACCCTCGCTTCTAATTTTCAGACGTCATTAATCTCAGCCTTTTTCCCTTCAAGGGCTCCATGATCGCACCTAGTGGCTTCTCTTTCTCGTCCAACTGGACTTGCTGGCTCCACGTGGCACTCATGTGCGCCCAATTCGCGTCTGAAAGCGCCTCCACCGCCTCCAGCTCCCGCTCCTCCTCCGCCAGCGACGCCACCGCCACGCGCCGCGCCGCGCTGTGGTGGAACGCGCGCCGGGTCTCGCTCCGCAGTGCAGCGCCGGAGTTGCTTACGAGAGGCAGCCGTGTTGCGGTTGCTGCTCTGCTGGACAAACGCGCGCTGCGACGAGAATGATCGGCGATTAGCGATTGGTGCGCTCCCCGCGCGGCCTGCGCGGAGGCTGCGACGGAACCCTGCGCCAGCGCGGCTCCCGACATGACGGAAGCGGAAGGAAGGGGAAGGCGGAGGCTTCAGCGGGACGTGGTGGCGCGGATTGTTGCAACGGAAAAAGGATGTTCGAGTATCTAAAGGAATTTATAAAGCTTCCACGCAACGGCAGCCACCTGAGACAACGAATATCCCTAGAGCTTAGGCGAAAGCTACCCTAGAGCTACTCGTAAGTGCAGAACTGGTGGCAATCTCGACTCTCAATTCTCTAGTTCCTTCGAGCTCGGAAAGTGCCGACTGTGGTGGATTCTCTGACTTGTGCCGAGCGAGCCAGGAGGGCCGCGCGTTTGGGGAAAGTTCGAAAATGCTTGTTACGCGGCATGTGCTGATTGGTTAAGAACAATCGAGGAAATCATGGTGCGAAGGGGAGGACCCATAGATGCGCAGGGAGGATGAGGCGAATCAAGACTACTGAGCGAAACACAACGCCTTCCTTGGTTGGATGCGAAGTGTTTGAGCTTGAGGTTTTTAGAAGTAGGGTAACAGTTTCGCCAACCGGTTCCATTTGGGATTGGATATTCATCAAAGCGAAATAACTGTTTTTTGGGGAGCGTTCATTTTTATGGGGAGTATATTCCATAACGGGTACATCTGATTCGCACATAGCTTTTCTCCTTGAAACTGCATCACCGCCAGTTGCGCTGGGACGATTTTCGCCATGGCCGCCCGAATAGCTGCGCGGCTGCTAAGGGGTTCCGCCAGCCGTGCTTCCTCGTCCTCGCATCTTCCGACCCCCTCGCCCTCGTCCTGTTCCCGCGCGTCTCTCGTTCAAACTTCCCCGCCATCCCCTCACTCTCGCACTTTCTCCCGCACCGCCAGCCAGCAGTCACTGATACCCCAAATATCGTCAGCACGCGCCGTGATTCGTGGTGATCTCTCGATTGGCCTTGAGGCCGCTTTCTCGCCCGCCGCTCCGCCTTCTCATTGGGTCCACGCGTCTCCGTTCGTCGCCAGCACGCGACAGATCGTGCGATCATTTGCGATTCGCAGTGCGACGTCGCCAGCAAGCACGCGACTCCGCGACAACTCGATCTGCTTCGTAAGCACGTCGCAACAACGATGGTTCTCGTCGGATTCAGGCAAAGGACCTGACGTGGCATTCGCAGCAGCAGCAAGCGGAAATGCAGCCGAGGGTGTTTCCGCAGGCTCGGAAGGTGCAGTAGGTTCGGCAAGCGCAGCCTCGGAAATCGGAAATCCAGCCTCAGGAGCGGATGTAGCAGCGGGGGAGGTGATCGGCGCGGGGGAAGAAGCGGGGGAGGCGGAGTGGGGAACGTACCGCGACAGGCGCGTGGCGGTGCGGAGCTTCAGCGGGGAGGCGCGCGGAGAGGCGGTGCTGGACGGGACTATATTCGACGTGCCTGTACGGAGAGACATCGTGCACCGCGTGGTGCTCTGGCAGCTCGCGAAGCGCCGCCAGGTGCGGCGGAGAGGAGTGCGGGGGATTGGGTGGGAGGAAGAGGAGTACAGTGTTTGGGGAGGGGGGAGGCGAAGAGAGGGGACGAGGGTAGGGGCGGAGAGGATGGAGTGGGTGGTGAATTGCATTGTAATGGGTTCTGGGTGGTTGGGATGGCGTTGCAATGGGTGGGCACGGTGAGAGAGTGGTCCAGCAAGCCTCGCTGTCTCGTCCTCACCACCTCACTCCCCCCCCACTCATTCCCTCATTCCCTCCCCACCCCCTCCCCACACACACTCCTCTCCCCGTCTCCCTCCCCTCCCCCCCAGGGCACGCACAGCACGAAGCGGGCGTGCGAGGTGCGCGGGTCGTCCAGCAAGCCTCATCGCCTCGTCCTCACCCTCTCACTCCCCACATTGTCCGTACACGCCCCCTCCCCCACCCGCGCAGGGCACGCACAGCACGAAGCGCGCGTGCGAGGTGCGGGGGTCGTCCAGCAAGCCATGGAAGCAGAAGGGCACGGGGCGCGCCCGACACGGGTCCCGCCGGGGGCCGCAGGTGAGGGGCGTGGACTGGCTTGCTGCTCGGTGCTGAACGGTACTGCCCGGTATTACTGTTACTGACTTGTGAAGCATAAGGGCACGGGGCGAGCCAGGCATGGGTCACGGCGAGGGCCGCAGGTGAGGGGTGAGGGGACTGCTGCAGGTGAGGGGTTGACTTGGGTACCATTACTGCCCGTTATTACGATCAGTGACTTGTGAGGCGCCTGAGGAAGCATAAGGGCACGGGGCGGACGAGACAGGGCTTGGGCAGTGGTCCGCGGGTGTGGGGCTGGCTCGTCAGTTAGACAGCAAACATCGCATGGGTTGCCGTATCACATGCTGTGCCTGTTCACAGCTCAGCCACCCTCTGCTCCACCCACCTATTGCCCTCTATCCTTTGTGCTGCGCCCAGGCCCGTGTCCCTTCTTCCCTTGCTTGCCCTGCTGCCAGCACTTTCCGGCCCGTCCAGCCCCTGACCCACGCACTCTCACTTCCTAGGCAGTGGCATGCCACCATGCACAGTGCACTGCATCTAACCACCCTCTCGCAATACCAACCCTCTCACTCGTTGCACCTCGTTTCCCTTCCCCCTATCCCCGCTCCTCTCCCCACCAGTTTCGGGGCGGAGCCGCCATGCACAGCCCCAAGCCACCTTCTCGCAATACCAACCCTCACATTTGTCGCACCCCATTTTGAGACGTCTCAAAAGTTTGTCGCACCCCATTTCCCCGTCCGCCACAAACCCCTTTCTCCCACCAGTTCCGGGGCGGAGTCACCATGCACGGCCCCTGGCCACCTCTCCTTGCCATGCCAATGCACCCACTCACTCAATCACCCCCCCTCCCCCACCACTTACCCCCCCCACCAGTTCCGCGGTGGAGCCGCCATGCACGGCCCCAAGCCGCGCTCGCACGCCTTCTCGCTCAACAAGAAGGTCCGCGCACTCGGGCTCAAGGCAGCGCTGTCGGCGCGGCTGAGGGAAGGACAGGTGAGAGTGCAGTGTGCTGTGTTGATCCCCTGTGCCTTGTCCACGCCCTGTGTTCCCGCCTTCTCGCTCAACAAGAAGGTTTGAGCGCTGGGGCTCAAGGCAGCACTGTTGGCGCGGCTGAGGGAGGGGCAGGTGAGAGTGCAGTGTGCTGTGCAATGTATGCTGACCTATGGAGCCGTGTCCACCTCCTGTGTTTCAAGCTGCACTCTCAACAAGTAGGTCCGCGCGCTCGGGTTCAAGGCAGCTCTGTGTTTCTGATGAGAGAAGGACAGGTGAGAGCGCAGTGTTTCTGATGCCTGTTGTTTGATCCTCGAGCTACCCTCTGTTGTCCCTCTCTGTGTGGCAGTTTTCCTGTACTTCTTACTAGCTCTCCCTCTCCCTCTTCCTCTCAACTCCCCTCTCGCTCTCCCCTCTCAATCTCCCTCTCACTCTCCCTACCCCTCGCCCTATCACTCCCTTCCCCAACCAGCTGGTCCTATACTCTGATTTGGATCCGGGCAGCCCGAAAACGAAAGACATGGCGCAGCACATTGCCACGGCGTTCCCTGAGTCAAAGAAGATCCTTTTCGTCGACGGTTCGCAACGGGCAGATGAAACTTTGCTGCGGGCATCTGGGAACCTGCACTATGTGAATGTTCTGCCAGTTGTGGTGAGTTGCTTCTGAGTTACCCCCTTCCCCCCAGATCTACTTTCTTCCATGCACTGGACTGAATTGCACTGCACCGCACTCCACTGCCCCATATGTGTGCCATTGCCCATGCTGATCGCCCATAACCCTCTTACATCGTACATGCCCTTTTGCCCATACCCGTGACCCACCCCACCAGGGTATGAGTGTGTACAGCATAGTGCGGCATGATGCACTTGTAGTTCCTCCGTGTCTCATCCTTCCGTTACACCATGTGTGCCCATCAACCCTCCCACCAGAGTCTGAACGTGAGCAGCATAGTGCAGCACGAGACCCTCGTGCCATCGTGAGAGTTCACCTCACTGTAATGTCTCCTTTGTGCTGCCCATACCCATCTGCGTACAACCCATTCCACCAGAGTGTGAACGTGAGCAGCATACTGCAGCACGGCGCTCTCGCGCTATTGCTTTGAAAAATTCCCTGCGTGCCTCTTCCCATCACTGTATTCTCCCATCTGTATGCCGTCGTCCAACCCATACCCATACCCATACCCATACCCATACCCATACCCATACCCATACCCATACCCATACCCATACCCATACCCATACCCATACCGGTGCCCATACTCACGCAACGGCCCATCCCACCAGGGTCTGAACGTGTACAGCATTGTGCAGCATGATGCCCTTGTGCTCTCGCTGCCGGCCCTGCAAGCCCTGGAGCACCGCCTCCTCTCCGCCAAGCGCCAGGTTCGGCCAGGCCTGGAGGAGAAGCTCTGCGCTGCTGCAGCTGCCACGGCCTGAGGTGCCATGGCATGCCATTGCAACTTTCGACCTCTTAGATACCCTAGGATCCGCTCTTTTGAGGAGAGCTGTGGTGAGTTGAGAAGGGGTAGGGTAGAGCTAGGTTAATGCAGGACCTGATACATGCAAACGCACGAGTGGATGTTTTGTTACAGCTGGCAATTGCATTGCAGAAAAAGTGTTGTTTGAAGGCAATACACAGGAAAAATCATGCGACTCGACGGTTTTCGGATTTGTGTCAATCCGGTCGACCACTCGTGCACCACGTCAGCACAATTTAGAATTCCAAAACTCCGATCGGCCGACCCTTTTTCTCCACTTTCAAGCACGAAATGGTCACTCTGTCGCAAGTATTACTACTGCGTTAGGGTTTCTCCAAATTCGTAGGTTTGTGGGTGGTAGTGTCTGTCGCTTTTTGCCGAGTAAGATTACACGTGTCAGTAGGTGCGATATGCCTACTAAGATTGTTGGAAACAATCGGTCCTAAGCGCCTCTGTCGTGTCAACACTAAGGCACAAGCGAAACAAAGCATATCGAGGCACCAGCGAGTCAACCCTCGGAGGTTGAAGTAACCGCTGGAGGTTACGCGAAAGTCAAAGGTCAGCGACCTTTGACCTGACAAATACAGCGCGACAGCAAGGACACACAACTGACTCGTTACAGAGCAGTTGCCCGAGTCGTCACTGTATCGAACCGCAACAGCAACAAGTAAAACAGTTATAACCGTATCCTTTCATATTCCTTGTACTCTTATATAATCTTGTATCTCTTTGTTTTAATCAACTTACTTTGCCCTCACATACTAGCGCAAGGTGGTTCACAACTCTTTATTAACGCTTCCGCTACTACACCAACTCTACCCAGAGTTCACCCCTGCAAAGATCCTAAGGGCTTTTTCAGCCCAACATAGTATGAGAGCTATCAAGGGGAATTCAACTACTATACCGACAACATCAATCAGCATGGCTACACAAAAGGAATTGAGCAATTCCAACGGCTCCCAAGGCACTACTCCTACTCCACCTCCTGCCTCTGGCCTACAGACAGAGGAGGGCACGGCAACAAGACCCAGAGCAACATCTACTAAGACTCCCGCGAATCAACCTGCAGACTTCGACCAGAGCATGATGGAGAAGTTTATCTCCTTCATGTCCTTCTACGAGCAACACCAGCAATCGGCACCTGCGCAGTCACACAACAGCAACAACAACGGAGCAACACCCATGAGTCTCGACGGCTCATCATATGCACGAGGAAATCAGCAACAGCAGCCTACCTTTGCTCCGTACGAGCGCGGGTCCATCAACTTCATGCCACACCCACAGCCCTCACCTGGACAAGAAAAACCACTGGACGCATTACAAGTTCAGTCGCAGTTCGCACACGTTCTGAAGATGCAGACGTCAAGACCCTTTGATGGAAAAGACTTCTTCACCTGGTCGTTCGAGTTTGAGCTGATGATGGAAGGCGCGCAGATACTCGGGTTCTTCGACGGGTCTCTGCCATACCCAACAAACGGCACACAGTACGAGAAGCAGCAGTACACCTATCAGTCAATGATGGCGTACACGATCCTACTGAGGAACATCACCCCGACTCAACAGCAGAACATAAGGACTTACCGAGGTTACGGTAACTCCGCGGAGCTCGCGTACAACCACCTGAAGAGCCTATATCAAGCAACAGACTGTGTAAGTCAAAGTCGGTTAATGGCGCAACTGACAACGGTTGAAATGAAACCAGGGGAGAAAGGAATGGCGTATATCAGTCGATGTCGCGAGTTGCGCGACAAGCTTCTTCGATGCGGAGGGTCGATCTCTGAAGACGCCTTCGTGACAGTCATCATCGGCGGCCTCGGTCCTCAATGGCGCGCCACAAAGGCCATTCTCCGAGCTCACGGAAGAATCTCCGAAGCAGCGCTCTGCACCGAAATCCACGCAAAGCAGCAAGACATGGACCTGCAAGAAGAACGACACAAAAAGAAGACATCAGCACCGGAATTCGCATTCCACACGCAGCGACGCTACAACAACAACAACAACCGGCAGCAACAACCGAAGCCAGTACCTCCGTTCTGCCACATCTGCAAAACCTCAGGTTACCCGCGTACACACTGCCCGAATCGTCAACAGTCAACAACTCCACAGCGGCAACTTCGACTTCAAGCAGCCAAATCGCCTCAACGCAAGCAAATCCCACGACTCAGATTCAAGCTTCAACGACCTCAACAGGACAACCTGCACAAGGAGCAAGAAACATCGTCAGCTGTATGGCAAAGCTGAGTGACTCCTGCATCACCGAGTCACCACCACACTACTCACCGGAAGACCAACTCGATGAAACCACACCCCGCCGCGAGTCACTTCAGCCGAACCCGACAGACGCCGCCATCGCCCAAAGCGAACCATCCGGAAGGGACACATGGTTCTTGGACAGCTGCTGCGGACAGCACATGTGCTCCTCGGGACGCTTCGTTCAACGAGAACACCAACTTCAACGCGAAGTTGTCATTACAGTCTTCAACAATCAGAACCTGCGAACACGACGACAAGGTGTAGTTCAACTTCAGTCAAGGGAAACAAACGTTGTACTGCAGATGTCAAAAGTACTAATCGTGGAGGGACTCGGCTACAACTTACTGAGCGTCAGTCAACTAATGGCGAAGGGGATTCACCTCGAAGCAGACAGCACCACTCAAGAATTCAAGCTGTATCACGGGAGAGGAGGACTCTACATCGGCAAGGCGGTCCTCAAGAACAACGTCTTCGTTCTTGATTTCTTTCCTGACCTTGGCACCGCCGACAGCAACGCCATCGTTAACTTCACCGACTGGACACACCCTCCAGACCTTGATCCAGACTTCAGTCCAGAAGGCTTCTGGTATTCACACACCATCCCTGAAGCAGAAAGAACAAGGGCGTTAGCAACAATTCAGACAACATCAGCAGCAGCAGAGACAACATCGGCAGCAGAAGAGACAACATCGGCAGCAGCAGAGACAACATCGGCAGCAGCAGAGACAACATCGGCAGCAGCAGAGACAACATCGGCAGTAGCAGAACCATCAGCGGCAGCAGAGAAACGTCAACACCAATCGCTGGCCCTTCAATGACACCGCTCCTCATCGACGACACACCACTGACACCAGCGCAACAACTACACCCAGCACCACGAGAAGTACATCGTAGCGCCAACTTCACCGCCAACTTCTACTCCAACTCCGATATGTACCGACGATCACCCGGACATCGCGCCGACGAAAGCACCTGGCACGCAAGGATGGGACACCCAAGCAACACAGTATTAAACAATATGATAAGAGCAGGAGTACTCGACAAGGACTCACTCCTACTGACCGACGGACGAGAACTTCAACGAGTACGCGGAACGTGCTTCACCTGCTCCGAAGGTGACTTACCACATCGACCGTTTACGCCTCATCACAACCCGAGCGCACCCGCGTACGCACCACTCGAGAAGGTGTATAGCGACATCCTGTTCAATCGGGAACCAGGACAAGTAACATACAACTACACGATCACCTTCATCGACGCCGCCACCCGTTACGTCTGGCACCTAAACCTCCCTAGCCGCGACATGGCATTCGCACCCTTCGTTGCCTGGCTACCAATAGCAGAGAGAGAATCGGGCGTGCAACTGAAAAGCTTCCAGCCAGACGGAGGAGGAGAATACACCTCTTAGCGATTCAAGCAGTACCTGGCGGAAAGGGGAATCAAGCAGGTCATCTCCCTTCCCTACGCCCATCAGCAGCAAGGTGTAGCAGAAAGAATGAACAGGACTTTGCAGAACAGCATGCGGCTACCCAACCACCAGTGGCCTGCAGCAATGGACCACGCCGTCATGCTGCACAACTTGCTATCATCATCATCGCTTCCGAACAACGCATCACCGCATCTGCTATGGACAGGGAAACAGGGCAGCACAAAAATGTTACGAGTTTTCGGATGCATGGTACAGTACCGACCCCCAGCAGCACGAGCGGGCCGATTTTCTCAACGAGCACAGTGGGGACTACACCTGGGAATCGAAAAGAACTACAACGCGTGGAAAATCTTTGACGTCCACTCCAAGGAAACAGTAGCAGCACGTGATGTAATTTTCTACGAACGACTCACGCTCCAGACATACCTTGCCAACCTGCAAGAAGACGAAGATCCCACAGGTGGTTTTCGTGGTGACCGAGCCTTCGCCTCAGCAGCGGACGAAGCTGACTGAGACGAGCAGAATGTGGACAACGCATCAGAAGAAGCCGGACCTCTTCCGTTCTGCTCCGTTGACGTTCCCATGGACGAAGACAACCCTCGCGAAAGTGCCAATGCCGAAACCTTCTACCATTTCGCCGACAACGGTTACGTAACACCTGCGACAGTCAACACCAACGAAGCAGAACGAGTAGGACCAAACTTCATACCTGATCCAGAAGCGGGAGATGAAGCAGCTTATCCCGAGGATGTAAATCTTCCCCGCTACTCACAGAGTGGACTACAGATTCTTGGACTCGTCATCGCAGTCCACGGCACCGCCACTCCTAAAGAGCCTGCGACAGTTCAACAGGCTCTGGGGGGGGAACATAAAGAAAAATGGCGCGAAGCCATGGACAAGGAGCTGAAGGCACTGGAGGAACGCAACACGTGGAAAGTGGTTCCTATCGGCGTGGCACGGAACAAGACAGTGCTCACCGGGAAGTGGGTCTTCCGTGTGAAGACAAAGGCCGACGGCACCATTGACAAATTCAAAGCTCGCTGGGTCGTACGCGGCTTCGACCAAGAGCACGGACGCGATTTTACCGAAACATTCGCTCCGGTCAGCCGACACACCTCGCTACGCATCCTTCTCGCGATCGCCGCCATGAAGAAGAAGAAACTGCGGCAAATCGACGTCGCTAACGCATTCCTCTACGCACCTGTTGACGCAGAGATCTTCGTCGAGCTACCACACGGCTCCAGCACGGACTCGAACCACGTCTGTCAACTACTCAA